CAACCTAACTGCCTTAGCAACTCTTCTTACAATCATCACTGCCACGCCTACCCCTCTAGAGAAGAAGAGCGCGGATAACGGAACCTTTGAAGCGCTTGTCAAATACGAAGTCAATTGCCGTAGCGGAGGTAACACCATACCACGCTGCTACGAATCAGGCTCGGCTGGCTGTAGCTGCTCTGGCATCGGTGTCTACAACTGCCAGGATGCAGAGTGTAGAGATTACTGCGGGTGCAGCAAGTATGTGCTCCCAATCCTCCACACGCCCAATATTACTACCCATCAGAGCCACTCGTTGTCTTATCTTTTCGACCTCTGTAAACATAACTCTAACAGTGATTACAGAGCCTACTACCCCCAATGCCCCCACTGTCCCTAGGTTAGAATCGCCTCCGCCAGATACCACTCCGCATGAGGACTTCGACGTCGATATCATCTGGGAGAACATGGATATTCGTAGCGATTTTAGATCGATGCGTAAGAGTTCACGGGGACCGATTGGGCGCATTCTGGTCGACTTTGGAAAAGTGCTGGAGAGTGGGATGTTTGAGGTGATTAGTGTGAATGCGAGTAAGCATATGTTCTGTGCGGTGGTGGCCTGTCAGAAGAATAGAGATGAGGGAGTCGATGATCTATTGTGGACTGTGCTCTAGGGGCTGTTTGCGTGTTCGGTTGTTGTGGCTCTCTCGCTCGTAGTCACAAATATGATCTGTTTACATGACATATCTCTGATGTATACGTGCTCGTCCTGACAACCACTACTTACGATATTCCTAGCGCACGCCCGAAGGCGCCTACTAGCAAGCGCAATCTGCGCCCACTACGCTTCAGTTTTGCATATCGCTGCATCTTTTCGCAGCACAAGCTTTGTGTATTCCCTTTATTCGTTGTGAAGGTGTCGCTATCAGGTGCCTGTGCGCTGCTTGCTCAATGTCAGCCAAACAAGGTAGCAGTGTATATCATGCTGCACGTTCAATTCCATCTGAAGGGCAACCGCAACGGCGAGTTACCAACAACACCATGCAGCACATACCCTTACCCCACAACCCGACGATTGGCTACATTGGAGTGCCTTGCCTGCCCGATCAAGAGTACGACGGAGGAGATTTCGAAACGTTTCCCGCGCGACAAGGTTACCCTGACAGTACTATTTCAGAATGGAAGACGCTATTCGACGACCCCACTGCAGATTTTGTTGCCTTTTTGCAGCTTTGGCAATACTTTGGGTACATCGGTTCGATATTTCCATTTGCGACGTCGAAAATACTGACCAAAGTTCGCGAGTATGGAAGTAGGGTGGTTGACACCTCGAATCTAATTACGATGGTTAACCACCATGTCGAACGCACCCCAGAAGGCTACGAACTACAGGACGGAGATCTGATATTGCGCTTGAAACGATCTACCAAGCTGCTGGGCCACCTGGTTGAGGGAACGAGAACGCCTATAACAACCACGACAGGCACAAATTCATGCCTGGGATCAGACGTCATATCGCACGATCCATTGATGGACGGTGCGATCGGTGTAACAATGATAAACAACAAGGCAGTAGAGCTTCCGGTTTGGACATTGTGGTGTTTGCAGTAGTTATAATGTCGTTTAATTCATTCGTATGATATTCATTCGGCGTGGTAGGTAATGTGTTGATGGGAAAGAATGTGGTGTCGTAGTTAGCTGAACAAAGACGCGATGGACAGGTACAAGCCAGAAGCACAGGCCGCCTAGACCGTGGACATCCCTGTCATGACGGCGCAGCTGTCAGTCGAGGTCCGCCATCGTCACCAACCCTCAACCTGGAGTTTGCTGCTATTTCAGCTGTCTTGGGGGCCAATTTCTAGCAGTCGCCATGCCGATTGACCGCCGTACCCGATGAGCTGCCTACGAACCCGCAGCCCGCGCCGCCCAGCCTCCCTACCATGTCCGCGTCGAACATCCGGGTATTCGTACAATGGAAGGACTCTACCGTGTTCGCCGGCGAAGACATAGAATGCACCATCACCTTCAAGAATGTCGCCCCGCCTGAGGGACGCGACCGCTCCCCGGTCCGGAGGCAGAACGGCTTCGCGACAGGCGGGGAGAGACAGCGCAAACTACCGCCCGTCCACTCGTCGACGCGCCCCTCGGTATCCCGCAATTCGTCCTTTGCCTCGCAGCTACCGCCGTCACAGCTTCGCGGACATCGCCCTGCACTATCACTGCATACGCCATCGACAGCTGGAGACCGCCGATCGTCTGTTGCGCCGAGCATCATCCATGCCAACAACACGGGCACACACAAACATGGAAGATCCGTGTCAATTGTTTCTTTAGGCGCAGATGCAGGAACCGAAGCCAGTCACGAGAGGGGCATACCCATCAGACGCCCAGCTAGAGGGCACGGAAGATCAGCCAGTCTGCAGGTCGTGCCTGGCAGGCCAAACTCATATCCAAGTACGGACAACAGATACACTATACGTCATTGGCTGACACGATAGCAGTTGCTTCACCAGGTCACAGATCAGCTACCCATCCATCTCCACTATCTGGCGAAGCATCCTCTCCGCTAGCCCGCGACACCAACGACTTTGCCTTTCCTGCGCGTCAGAACAGGAGACGGCCTGGTGTCACGACCACCCCGAGTACCCCAGCCCTCCCCACTACAGGGCGAAAACCGTCCAACTCCTTCTCCCAGAGCTTCAAGTTCCCCGCCGCACCTCCGCCCGACGATGCCACCCATCCCCAGCCTAGTAGCAGTCCTACAAAGCAACCTATACATGTCCGGCGCAACTCCCCACAACCGCCACATGACTACCTACGGTCATCTGGAAGCCACAATCTCGAGGTGCTTTCACCTGTTGCACGGATAATATCTGGGTCGAGCATGAATGACACCCCGCGTAGTAGTGGAGAGTTCTACTCGATGAGCAACAACTCCAACGAGACACTGGCTTCGGAATATGCGGCTCATCCCTCAGCGCGTCTACTACAGCGACCGATGCATCATCGGCGACCGTCACATTTGGCACCACCCAATAGACAGGCTCTGCCGGAGTCGATAATGATGGGCTATGCGCAAATCATGGGGTCCTTCACGCTGGACGGATCCTTGATCAACCAAGCACCTTTCGAGGAGGTAAAGAGGAAGGGAGTAGTGGGCGGCCAGGGTGGAGGTGGTGTAGTGGGTGTAGAGAAGACGAAGCGCGAAAGTGGGCTCTTTGGCGCGCTCGGTTGGGGTAACATAGGAGAGTCGCTGGGTGGGCTACTGGGCGCTTCCGAGCCCTCCAGTATCCGAGAGATGCGAGGCGTCGCCAGCTCCAAGACTGTCCCGCTCATCACTACTCCCCAGTCCATTCTGTTCGTCGATTTGCGGCTTGCGCCTGGCGAAAGCCGCAGCTACACGTACAGCTTTACAATACCCCGGGGTCTGCCACCTTCGCATAAGGGGCGGTCGATGAAGGTAGCATACAATCTCATCATTGGCACACAACGCGCGGGATCGACCAAAGAACAACAAGTGAAGCATGTGGACGTTCCGTTTCGGGTGTTTGGCAGCGTGAACAGTATGTTTGGTCTGAGGATACGGGTGATGATATGCTAACCCCTTTGCAGGCCGTGGCGAGATTCTTGGACATGATCTCATGTCTCCGTACATCATATTGCGCGATCAAGCTCGAACAGCCAGCATAGACCCCTCGTCGAGCGCAAAACTTTCCCCTACAAAGAAGGGCGCTTCTTCGAGCAAGACGGAAGAGAATACTTTCAGCGACTTCCTTGAGTATGTCGACAATCTTCTCGATCGGCCTAGGCACAATTCTAGCATGGGCTTGCTTTCACCTACGGGCACAATGCCCGGGCGCTCAACGATTGCTGAAGGGCCCCAGACCATGAAGGAGGCTATTGATACAGCCATCTTGCGCAGCAACTTGACGGGTGCCGCCAATCAGAGCGCCAATCGCTTTGAGATTGCTCGCAGCGGCCGCCGTGTCGCGGTCATCATGTTGGCGCGGCCCTCTTACCGGTTAGGCGAAACAATGTCTGCCGTAATCGACTTTACAGATTCACGCATTCCCTGTTACTCAATACAGATCTCATTGGAGACTTCAGAGAAGGTCGACCCGGCGATAGCGCTTCGCTCGAATGCGTCGATATACCGCGTCACAAAGAAAGTGCACGCATCATTCTCGGAGAACGCGCTGTTTGCGCAAAAGCTCGCCTTCTCGCCTACTATACCACCGAATGCAACACCGGAGTTTATTACCAGCGGCGTCAGTCTTGAGTGGAAGCTCAGAATCGAGTTCATCACTCCGCGACTCACGCATGAGGACGGTGAGGAGACATCGTGGGATGATCTCTTGGAGGAGATATCTAGCGACGACCGGGGTGTCATATTAGCAGCGGCGCAACGGTTGCCTGCTGAGAGCTTTGAAGTGCAGGTACCAATAAGGGTATACGGGGCTGTGAGCGGGGCGCCCGAAGCACCTGATGAACAGGGTCTTCCTGTGTGAAGTTGGCCATACAAATGGCAGCCATTACCACCAGCTCCACGCTGAACCACAACGCAACAACTGGGGCAGAGCACTGGTCCTCCGCATCTCGCTACCCAGCTTCTCATCAGCCGCTTACCCTTGGGAGCCATTCTAACATTTTGTACATGACTAGGGGTACATGGCATACATATTGGATATTGGGAAGGAAAAAGGGAGCATGTTGGAAAGCACTTGTAGTATACCAGCTCGTCACTTGAGCAAGTCAGGGTTGTAGGACACAGGGCCCGTGTTCGACAGTAATTTCATCTATCCATATCCATTCACGTCCCTTTGTCGTGCTTTTCGATTTAGGCGACACCCCATAGGCAGAACCAAAGACCCTCACCCACAGCACAATTACCACTACAATGTTTGACACACGGAAAAAATCGCTTCTGCTTCCCCTTCCGTCATTTTAAATAATTAAGCTGTCTTCGCCTTTCTTTACTTGTTACAAATTCCGAAGCAACACAAATACTCGCCCTACTCAAAATGGCCTCCCTCTACGATACATTCGATTGGAAGACATCTTCCGTACAAGAAATAAAAGATCACATCAAGAAACTACGCCATGAAAACGATATGATGGACCTAAGAGGAGTGAAAAGAGACAGCATCAGAGCGCAGACTTTGGGAGAAGGCGTCAGCTTCAAGATCGAGAACGAAGACGGCCAAGTGTACATTCCCCTTGCTCCCTCACTCACCAATCAGAACATCACTAATACATATATGCTATTCTAGTTTCTTCCGCCCAAACGGCACTTTAAAGTGCAATTCAGCACTGAACATCGAGCTGAAGAACAAAGGATTCAATGGCAAAATCTACGTTGAACCCGGCGCCTCAAGCTGGTTCACCGGTGGATGGGCCAAAGCGCTCGTTCTGGCGGGAACAGTATACCTGTACCGTAACGAACTTCGCGTCATCGGCCGAGGCGTGTTGGCTGGAGCGAATCTAGCCATCGAGCGTTGGGAACAACGTCAGCGACAAAAGGACGGTGATGTGAAAGGGAAAGAAGTAGAAGAGGAGAAAGAGCAAGGAAAGGAGGAGGAGGAGAAGGCATCTGTCACGCCGAATGAAGAGGAAGGCATCAACCAAAATGCCTCCATATACCCTCCTCACCCACCACCCGTACAGCCACCCCAAGCCGTGTACGTATTTTCATGTGTGCGGTGTTCTAACCCAGAATCACCTTCACACCCAGCCCCATACGACAGCAGTGGATTCGACGCAGACCTGGACACGCCAACCTCACCCCAGAGCCGACGTTGACGTTGGGTCACTTGCTTTGCAGGTTTTTGCTTTGATGTAGTCTGCAGACCTGTTCAATCTTTTTGCTTGTATGAGGTGGGAATCAGTGGTCTGTGTTGGAACGCGCGTAAGTGGCCATTGGCCATCATAGACGACGTCACAGACATATGGAGGAGGCAAGACGGGATACATATCACACAACCCTAACTCACTGTACAAACCACGAAAACACAACTCAGCTCATAACCATATCATTGAAGTCATCATGTCTCGAAAAGTGTATGTAGATGTAATCGCAGTCCATCGCCAAGAAAGCCTTCTTCACAATCGAATCGAATCAGGCAGAAAGTGTGTCCACGAAGCCCGATCATACTCGCCCGGGACCTTTATGCTGGTCGCTCACAATCCATCAATCATGCTCCCTTTGTTTCCTTCGTGTCGCTTACAATCCACCGGGTCCGGCAGCTGAGTGTGCGCTGGCTCCGGCACCGGGGCCCAAGGACGCATGTGTCGCTTCGCGGTGGGCTGCTTCGCGGGCCTCGCGCTCCTTGGTCTCGGAGGCGATTTGGTCTTCGGTCTTCTTGTTGCCTCGGGCGATGAGCTTCTCGAGGAGCCCGCCCTTCTTGGGCGTGTCGTGCTTGTCTGAGTCTTCGAATTCTTTTAGGTAGGCGACGCGCTCTGAGGGGGGCATCGATGCGAGTTCAGAGTCGATTGAGTCGCGGTTCTCTGGGGGAGTGGGTTAGTTGTGGGTTGGGGCGAGGCTGAGGTTGAGAAGTCGGGAAGGTGCAATGTTGGATTGGTCGCAAGAGATATGTGTATGTTCGCTTGGATAGAGCATAGTTGAGAACTCGGAGTCTTGACTTACCCTCGATAGTGCCGACATTACCAGCGCGGACATCGTCCTCAGCCGTCTTGTTCTTGCTGCTGCCAAGGTGGAGCTTCTCCTTGATCTTGTCCATTTTCAATTGCTTGTTTTAGGTTGTGGATTGGGGTATCGGGGTACGTGTGTACTGTTGACGTGGAGGAATAGCAGAGGCAGGAGTTAGGTGTTTGGTGTGTTGTCTAGGTCGGAGGAGGCGCGCGGGGATGAGGGGTGATGGTAGCTTCAGCCGTGCGTGTCACCTACGTCATAGCTTCAACATAGTCCAGCTGCCAGCTGCCCTGTTGGAGGTGGATCTAGTCAAGCGCGATCCATGCACTTCATTTCCAGATTATGCAGCGAATGCCTTGTAGTGGCTTGGGATTTGGTCGTTCTTCTCCTTATGCTTGGGCTGCATCTGCCTACGTGGTGTCTGACATCAGCCTCACGAGCGGAACGCGTTGCGGGCACCCTGGGTAGCTGCAGGTGGTAGTTATGGCTCTAGCATTATTGTCCCTGCGTCTCGTATTCTACTTTCAAGAATTAGCTCTTAGAATGGCCAGGAGCCATCTACAAGATCATGATTGCGATACTACAGCGGTAGACAGAAATCCTTGCATAAAAAACGAAGCTCGTACGCAGCTGGGATCACGTACATCAAATTCATCATAGTCGACGTCTCCACTTCCCGGATGGAGCTCGTCAGTAGCCCACAGTTCCAACTTTGCGTTACTACCCTTGTCATGACAATGCATGTCCTTCAGCCCTACGAGCCGATCACCCGGTAACTCTTGGCAGGTGATTTCAGTCTGTAGAGACCAGCATCAATCTGCTTGTGCACTCTCAGAACCCTTCGAAGCTTCTCCAAGTATCAAACGGCAACGGCATCGTTTGTTGAAGAAACTCAGATGTTGTAGTTGGCGCATGCAACGTTATCGGTGGCTGAACCTATGCCTTTGAGAATTATTACTATTATATTCGGTTTCGTGTACTCGTAACCAAAGTCCCGCCCATTCCCAATCCACGAGTGGTATCTTTAGATGTACGCCAAATCCAAACGCCTTAGTACGACTGCCGCCCTGTATTCAATGCTGACCATTAATATTTATGCTGTGGAAACTGGGGTGTCATTGGTGATACGCCAGAGCGTACTCCAAACTCGCCTGTCGCGTATCCGTCGTCGCTAGCTATGCCGCTCACACTGCGCCCTGTGCTACTCTCGGCATCCGCTTCGCGTGGGCCAGGGTATTGCGGCAGCTGTACCTCTCGCCATCTAGGTGTGACTGGCATCATTGACTCGCCGTGCAGCTCTTGTGGTTCATCTGCCATGCTGATGACCGTCTTCTGATCCTGTGGATACGCATGGCCGACGAACTGTTCGTTGACAGGGGAGGCAAGCTCGGTCAACGGTGTCCCGTGGAGTTCCTGCGGGCCCACAGCTTTGTGCGGCTGGCTGCCAGCGAGAATGTCGGTGCCCGAACCAACTTCCGATATGTGCTTGCTTGCGAGTTCGTATCGTTGCTCTTTTTGCTGCTTGCCGCGACGCTTCCGGAAGAAAAATATACCAAGTGCGACCAGGGCGAGAGCAGCGACTGCACCGATTACTATGCCGATAATGGCACCTACGCCGAGACCCGAGGATGAAGACGAAGCTGGCGTGGCAGTAGTATCACTCGGAGATGTGATGGTCATGATGTCTGACGCGGGTAGAGGATCAGGAAAGACTGCCTGCGCAACAGTAAAGTTCGCGCGCTCATAGTCTACTATGAGATAGGCCTCTTGCAATAGCGTCCTGCCCAGTGCATATTGTGTATCGTTCGCGGCGCGGCGGATCGGGAAGTAGTTCGTTGCGTTTGTGTAGTACGGGTACGAGGCTTGGAGATCGAATGCCGCATACGGAAGCTCGATGTTGGTGTAGTTTGTAGTCGTATCTTCGAGGGAGTCGACGAGCTTGAACGTGAGGGTCGGGTTCTTGGATAGAAGTTCTTCGTGGATCGTGTCGTTGACAAGATACAAATCTGTTTGAGGATCATAAGTCAGGCCAAAGGCTGTCTCGAACTCAGCACACACGTCCGCGGGTAGCCACAGATGCGGGACAGTAGAATCAATGACAGAGAAGTGTGCTCCAGAAGTCAGGGAGTAGGTGCCCTGCAGCGTGTTTGTAGCCATGATCGAGTCCACCCCAACAGTTAGGAGCCGGGAGGGGTCTTGTGAGAAGGTGAACGAGAAATCGTTCGTGCCAGTCTCGAACCGCGTCGCATCGTAGCCGCCCAATATCAGGCTACCGAATACAGATTTCAACCTGTACTTCGCGCCTGCCGTATACGCATATGCAAAACTGGGGATCTTCTTGCTTTCGCGCAACAGGTAGAGGAACGAGTCAACCGGTTGGCTCCCACTGTTGAAGCTGGACTTTGCCTGACCTAGGCCCAGAACTCCCAGATAGTAGTCCGGGTCGGCAACGGCAGCGACGACCTGGCGCGTTAGCGACACAGAAGAGCTACTGTCTGCAGCTGCTCCTAGAGTGATGGTATCCAGGCCAAACAATCCTCTCCCTGTGTAGTTGAGCGCATCCTCCAAATCAACGTCGTATTGCCCGATCGCCGACCAGGTTGTCGACGCGTCGACCTGAAAGCCGCTGCTTTGCGCGCTTTGGAAAACCTCTATCCCTCGGAGTTGTGGGCAATCTGTAGGGTCGACTCCCTCCAAACAACCTTCCGGTGCAATGACGTATGTGACACCTCCCTTTGTGCTGGGCAGTACACGAAAGTCTTGTCCTGGCGTTCCAACGCTTATCTTAAAGGTGCTCCAGCTCCCATCGGCACCGTCGAACTTATTCGAAGGTGGCACAACATACGGCTCCGGGGCCTCGGTAGCGCGCGGTGTGAGGCGCATGGTGTAGCGAGCGAATGGTAGTGAGGGTTGTGAGACGTCCCTACATGGACCTGGCAACGATCGGTCGTCGACTTAGAGGGTGCGAAGCGTGCAACACATAGCGGAGTCGTCTTTCGAAGGACTTGGTATGCCGGCTTGAGTCAGCTCAGCTACCGGGAATGCGGTTCCAGGGCCATCGGAAGCTTTCAAGGCCAGAGCGGTTCATGGGCGTTTTGCTCCAAGAACCCACTCCAACAACTGCGGGCGCCGCGTGACGATCGCCCACCCTAATTATTAGATTGGCATGGCAGTGCAGCCTGATTCGGTGACAGCAGCAGGGAAGTCCGGCTAGCCTCCAAGGTCAATCGAGCTGGATACGAGGGTATCATGGGAGAGGCGTATCCGTTGGCATGCTAAGGGGTAGCGCGACGTTAGTCATCATCCTGCCCAATGACGGAGCCCTGGAACGACTTCCCGCTGATCCTCTCAGCCTCCTTTCGACACCATCTCGGCCCAAGCGGCCACGACTTGAGCGCCTTCGTCATGCGGTTCCAAGTTCCCTTTGAATGGCGCTCGACACATGCATGCCAAAAGTCAACGGCGACCTCCCAGCTGTGGTCGCATGTATCATCGGCTAAGGCACGCTGACATGTCACGGATCTCGCACTATCTCGCCTGACATGGTCGTGTTGTTCTTGCCGAGAACCTGAGACGTAGCCCAGCAATCTCTTCACTTGGCCCTAAAGGGCAAACCCAGTAGTTCGTCGCTCCAACCTCCAGGAGATCGGTTCAAGGCTGGATCGTTCTTGCGGGGCAGATCTCCTAGGTGATATAGGGTATGTCGATTGACATCAGGAAATCGAGACAAGCGTTGCATATGGCGCTACTGATAGCTCAGTTGTAGACTGCCACGGTTGCTGCTGAAGACAATTAATTGCAAGTCATGTCAGCATTAAGCTTGGTTCTAGGCGGACCTACGAGAGCATGCAAATCCAACTGATCAGCACGGCAGACGAGGGTCCACCGTCCAACGATGCCCTGGCGGTCATACGCGTCAACGGTATGTGCCTCGTGTTTCCGCTAAGCATGGCTATCGCTAGGGCCGTGCATGGATCGCAACCTGATCATGCGTCCGAATAGCCTTCATCGAATGGTTCGAATTCGCACTGTTTAGGGCAGAAACTGGCTGTTTTCGCTCTTGCGGTACTCTCTTACGTCCGCAACGTCTTGCTTGACCTTTACACCATCACTCGCTTGGTGTAGAAGGCTCACAGCAAGATGCGGAGAT